CTTCTTCTTCTTCTTCTTCTTCTTCTTCTTCTTCTTCTTCTTCTTCTTCTTCTTCTTCTTCTTCTTCTTCTTCTTCTTCTTCTTCTTCTTCTTCTTCTTCTTCTTCTTCTTCTTCTTCTTCTTATTATTATTATTATTATTATTATTATTATTATTATTATTATTATTATTATTATTATTATTATTATTATTATTATTCCCTTACCTGGCAACTCAGGCGAAGGGATCGAGATAATTTCACCTCCTGGAAAGGTCTCTTCTCCAGAGGAACTGATGTCAGATTAAAAAAAAAATATCACACTTTCTTCCTGAGGGATTAGCTTTCTCCCTGCAGGGATTTGTGCTTCTCTACAGGAGCAAAAGAGAAAAAGAAAGAACAGGCTTGCAAGTGCTCACTTAGCAGGAATTTAGCAGGCCCTGTTTCCAAATACAGGCATTTATTTGGGGGCTTTATTTTAAAAAAAAGAAAAACCAAAAACCCTCTTTCCGTTTTTTTTTTTTTTAATGGCTGCGAAGTGCGCCTTGTGGTGTGATGGCCATCTCCACATTCCCAGCTCCCCAACTGCGCTTGGAAGACATAATCCCTAATTTTTGGCGTTTCTCGGATTCTCCACCTGCTCTCTTTTCTTTTTCTTTCTTTCTTTTTTTTAAAAAAGAGAGAGTCATTATGCTTTATTGACCACTGATGGAGCATGGAAAACACACACACACCCTGGTTTTTTTTTTTCCTCTCCCACCCCCCTTTTTTCCTGCCCCCCCTCCTTCCAGAGGGTCCGCTTAATCCTGATTGGCTGGGGAGTGTGGGAAACTGTGAGCACGAAGAAACTCACCGAGGTTTGGGGGTATAAATATGGGACGGAGGAGAGAATCTGGATTGCAAAGAGGATTTTTTTCGTTTTTCCTTCCCTCCTCTAGCTGAGCAAGGATGACGCCTTCCAATCTCGTCTTCCTGGACCAAAACAGGCTGCTGACCCCTAAAGAGAAAAATAAAGTGAGTAGAAATCGAAAACTTGGGGAGTGGGGGTAGAAAAACAAAACAAAAAAAGCAACGACTTTTAAGGCGAGATGCTGTTTCAAGTCTTCTTATGCACCTCCTTTTTTTCTCTCTCCTTCCTTCCTTCATCTCCCGGCAGCTGAGAAAACCCATGATCGAAAAAATGCGCCGGGACCGCATGAACAGCAGCATCGAGCAGCTCAAACAGCTGCTGGAAAAACAGCTGCAAAGTCAGCAGGCCGGTTCCAAGTTGGAGAAGGCCGACGTCCTTGAAACGGCCGTGGGCTACCTGAAGCATCAGAGCCGCTGGCAGAGTACAGGTGTGTCAATCAATCAAGAAGAGACTGGACAGACACCTGTCCGAAATGCCAACGGGTTTTCTGCTCGAGCGGGGAGGTGGGTGGGTTGGACTAGAAGACCTTTGAGGTCCCTTCCAACTCTGTTTTTCGTTTTTGTTTTCCATTTGGGCTACAGACCCCTTTCGTAGCCTTCCTCGGAATCGTTTGCTAGGAATGGATAGCCTGATTTATTTTTAAGGATGGGTTTATTAAATGCATATGCTGCCTATCTCGCTGTTGGGTGACTCTTAGCGAGAGGTTAAAAACAGCAGTATAAAACGTGAAAAGTTGCAAAAAGGATGGATATTTACATTAACATGAGCAAAGGGAGCTAACGAAGGACGCAAAATACAAGTGGGGTGAAGGTAGAAGGGGTCCTAACTAACCCCTAGCTAACCTTGATGGGGTTCAAACCAACATCTTAACGCAGAGACTTTTTCTTGCCTTAATTCCAACACTGCTGATCAGAAAGTCCTTGTTATCCAGTGTCACAAAACCCTTTTAAGTCCATTTAAACGCCCCTGTTCTGATGGGTAAAGAGTTTGTGTGCTTTACTCAAAGAAAAAAAAAACAATTTTTATCCAGTTTGGGGTGATTTAGCACTGGTTTCGTGTTTGAGCAGGTGGATGCCTGGAAAATGGGCACACACACTCCCCTCCCCTACCCTTGTGATCAACTGCGTCAACCTTGGCTCCCAAGGGGATTCAAAGGGACTAGAAGCTTGATGCAGAAAAAGTAATTTATTTTTTTGTGTCTTTCCCAACAGGGTCCGCTCCCAAGGAGAGAGAAGTGGACTTCCAAGAAGGCTACGCCAGATGCCTTCAAGAAGTCTCCCGGTTCCTGCTCCTTCACAAAGTCCACCCCCAGACTCAGAAGAAGCTGATGTGTCATTTTCAACACACAACACCCCTGCCCGCCTCGTCGTCGTCTGCTCATTGGAAGCAACCCGCTCCTCCCAAGAACCTCCCATCTCTTTGGCGACCGTGGATGGAGTCCAGTAGAGGATGAAGAAGGAAGGACCCATCTCCTTTGATTTATTAGCCGGCCTCCTCTTCTTTCCTTCCTTTTGGGGGGAAGGTTTGGATGTCTCTTTCCCCTTTTGGGAGAAAAAAAAGAAAGAATATTATTTATTCCCAAGAGGGGAGGAAGCAGATGGGACAGGGGAAGTGAGAAAGGCCCGCGTGGAAACTGCACCAGGTGGCTGGTGGACTGTTAGCCGCCTGGTCCCACGCGAGGAGAGGGGTAAGAAACCTGGTTCCCCTGCTGCTTTGGCTAACCAGGTTTAGCTGGTGGGGGGAAAAAGTTGCTTGGCAACCCACCCACCAGCGTGGGCTTCCTAGGAACGAGGCGACGAAGGGGGTGGCTTTGGGACCCCTTTCCCTCTCTTAAGGAAAGCCCTTGTCTTGCTTTATATTAAAGAGAAGAGGTGCTTAATGGTTGGATGTCATACATTTGGCAAGTGAGGAAGGACGGCCTGCGTTTGTGGGGCGCTGTGTGTGTGGGGGGAAGTTGGAGGTCTCCTTTCAGACCAGCCTTGTTGTGTCTTGGAGGGGGAGGACAAAGGAGGGTATGTCTGGGGGGGGCGTTTGTTCTGCAATGGGCATACTGTGTATGCGGTTTGTTTGAGAAAATAAATACAGACCTGAAAAAGGTAACCCGTGTCTATGTTTTCTGGGCCTCGTTGGGAGAGGGGGGGTGGAAATGATAAATAAATATATCCTCCCTGGCTTTGTGAACCTGCAAAAAAAAATGGGTTTTTTTTTTAAAAAAAGGTCCAATTTCCTGCTGATAATAAAGCATCTGTACAACATTTAACTTTGCAACCTTTTAAACAAACTTTTTAAAATAGGGAAAATTAACGGTTAAAACAGTTAAAATGATAGGGAAAACAAATTCAAATCAAAATTATCATATTTGTTGCGTTTACTTTAATATGGATTCAGGCCATTTTTTCCAACTTTTCCTGCAACAGGTATTTAGATTTTTGTAGCTATGGGGCATCCTCCTGCTCAGCTCCCCACCTCAGAGGTCTTCTAGGCTGACCCCCTGCTCAAGCAGGAGACCCTAGACCATTTCAATCAATCAGAATAGAGCTGGAAGGGACCTTGGAGGTCTTCTAGTCCAACCCCCTGCTCAAGCAGGAGACCCTAGACCATTTCAATCAATCAATCAATCAGAATAGAGCTGGAAGGGATCTTGGAGGTCTTCTAGTCCAACCCCCTGCTCAAGCAGGAGACCCTCTACCATTTCAATCAATGAATCAATCCATCAATCAGAATGAGAGTTGGAAGGGACCTTGGAGGTCTTCTAGTCCAACCCTAGACCATTTCAGACAAATGGCTGTCCAGTCTCTTCTTAAATGACAATGACAATTTTCGATTCTTAGCAGCCACATAGACTGATTTCCCCCGGAAATAATATTTCCCTAATAATCAGTGGTTAATAGCCCATTCCCAATTTCTTGCGGCTTGAAAAAAAAGTGGTCAAAAGGTCTTGTCACTGAAAAAAAAAAGAACTCATAATCCTGGGAGCTGGTGGTTTAACTCTGAGGTTAAAACAAAGGGCATG